TGGGTAAACAGAAAATATCCCCAGAGCTTACTGTGGAGTGTATGCAAGGTGTGAGTATCCTAACCCAGGAATTGTTCAAGGCAGAGGTCAAGAAAAATTTAAACAACATACATATTGTTTTCTTTTAAAGGAAAGCCAAAAGGGCAGAAAAAGTTTCGCTTTCTGGGAGCAAAGTAAAAGCTAAGGTTGAGAAAAATGGAGATACTGTGTTAAACAGTACATAAGACTCAAATTTTCTTAAACTTGTTTCTTTTCATTCTCTAAAAACAGACTTGTCATTCTCTCTGAAGAGGGCACCAGAACATTAGATAAGATGTGCTGATGGACAGGGACCCTGCTTCTAACTTTGCACTCATTTCTAAACCACATTTGTCTAGTTTTAGCTTTTAATTAGTGGATCTATTTATACCACTGCTACTAGATGGAAAACTCTTGTGATCAGCCTATAAAAATATCTAATAGCAGAAAGAACAGACTGGTAAGTTAAGCTTCAACTTAAGCCAGGTCAGGTAGAGAAGAACAACTTCTGCACACCAAAGCTGAAGTCCTGTTTCCAAGTTATGCTGCATTGGGGTAACAGAAGAACCAAAAGTCAGAATTCTGGAAAGTGCAGCAAAGTTTCAAGTGCAAGTTTTCCTTAGTATCAAAAAAAACCAAATAAAAAACCCCCCCAAAAAAACCCATACAAAAGAGTTTCCTTTGCCAGGGTAATACAGGAGTAACTGAAAATTACCTTCATGTCCCAAGCTTTTTGTTCAGTACTATTTGTCCTTATAATAAAACCCACTCAGTATCAGCTCTGTCAGAGTACAGAATATCAGGTATGTTCTCAATTTTCAAGCAACTAAACCAGAAAAAGTTTTACCATTTTTACCAAAGAGTTTGGTAACTCTGAAGGAAAATGCTACAAGAATTGGGGTAAAAATTGGAAAAGTGTTTTGCAATATTTCCAATGTGTGTTAAAAGTGACACAAGTTTAGGCTGTGCCCTGAGGTGAACCTCACACAACTCCAGACTCCAGTGAAGTATGGAATGGACTTTGGACTGTCTGGTTATCCCCAGGCTGCCTCTGATGTGCTGGCCAAAATGTTCACTGAAGCAGATTTATGCACTACTTGTACATGTATTTATTAACCACTGATCTTACTTTTATGGTTCAAAAGTAGTACTTCAGGGAAAAAAAAAGTAAACCTGCATCTCTAGCAGTGAGTCTGAAAATCAACCCTAGCTGTGAGGAAAGTAACACAGGCACAAGGACCCAGATGTTTTGGAATAAGACCTGCAGCACCTATGTTTTCAGTTGTACCACCAGGGAGAACCTAGAGCTCTTCACAACCACATGGCAGTGACACAATTCACATCAAGAATCTTCCTTCCTGACCTTCTTCATCCCAAAATTCATCTTTATTTTATTATAAGGCACCCAAGAATCCTGAAGTGCTCTGCAGTTGGAATTAAAAGCCTTGAAGTAGTTCTTGCCTACTCTGTGCCAGGTATAAAACAAAGTTTTCTGGAATATACACTAATTTAATAAGCAACAGCTTCTGGCAATTCTGTGTATATTTTTAACATGTTGAGTACTTACAGATACAGTAAGAGATGACAAGAACCATCCTTCAGAAATTCAGGGAAAAGAGGAACTACTGTGGCTGCGCTTTGGTCATTTACTGACTGCAACTATTGAACTTTCATTTATTAAATTACAGAAACTCAGACACAGTATCTGCTCCAGAAATTTTAGACAGGAAAATAGAGTGGAAATGAACAAAGGTCATTTCTGCTCCCAAATGTGCTTCTATTAAAAGAATACATGATTTACAACCAGTTTATCCCAATTATTCAGGCTAACTTCATACAAACTTGTAAGAAGTAGGGCCATGCTATTCTAAATTTCTCTTTAAAATGTCACTTTAACCCAGCAGACCAAAAACTTAACTAAATCAAAGTGTATCTAATCTATTAAGATAGCCCCTGGTTACAGATTTAGAGTGTACCCTGCAATTAACTCCAGCTTCTACAACAACATGATAATCCATTTAAAGGCAAGCAAACTGAAAAGCCATGTGAGGACAGCATCTGGCTGTCTGTCACTTCATCAATTCTAGGAAAGACTCTGCAGCTCAGTAACCACCACACACTACAGCTCTGAGAACCATGCCCACCACAGGTCTGCAAGCAAATTTAAGGCACACTTCCCAAACCTGTGACCCAACATCCCTAAGAGCTCCTGTTCACTGTACAGTACCTTTCCACCACCTCTGCTGAAGTGAACAAGGAGGAAAGTCCTTGTAACAACATGCAGTAAAGAAATGAATACCTGCATGTATCAATAGCAACCTAGCAATCCCAACAATGAAGTTATCTCTGTGTCAGACCCACACACAGCTATTTCAAATTAGCAAAGCTGTTACAGCATTAAATACAACTATTTTGCAAGGGATGACTTGTAGAAATTTGTTCACTATTAGCTATCAGCACAGGGGAGAAACCAATCACCTGGCTGTTTATGCCACTGGGCTGAAAGAGATTTGCCTGGACACAGAAATGTCGTTGGCACTTGGCCAGGAATTCCAGAGCCAGATATGTATCCCAGCATGAAGGGCTCTGTCACTTCCCTACAAGGCCATCTTTTTGCAAAGCACATGTCAAAGGCCATCACAGTCCTCCTGCACTTGAGGCACAGGCATGCACAGAGTCTCTCTCACCTCCAGGTCTTGACACCAATGCTGGGACACAATGCATTTAGTGGCTTTTCTCTGTTTGCTCTGTGGCTTTTCTCAGTTTGATTACAATTAAAACTCATCATTGTCTAGCTACAAGAATTTGCTGTTTCAGTGTCAGAAGTTGTGTTACACTGAAGCACTGATTTCTCTAATAAACATCCACATGACTTATAATCAGCTGCAGCTTCAAGTGAAGGTAATTTAAGTGTATTGTTTGATCCACAAATTTAAGTGAGTATTTTACCCAGAAAAGCTTCTACAATCCATCTACAAGCCAAACTACCTATCTTAAAGGACAATCATAAAATATGGATATTTTTTGGGTTTCTACAAGAGCATACCAGCTTAAGCTTGTCCTCATCATAAAAAAATAATAAATCAACATATTCTGGGCTATCACTCATTGTTCTACAAGCAGATTTTAACAATGCAATAGTAACCCTATGATAAAGAGGACACTATGCTAGTTAAAGGCAGCCTGATGTTACAGGCACATTGGTTATTCCCAGTTCGTTTTTCTCCCTCAGACACAGGCCTTTTAAACAGAGTAATTGATTTTATTGGTACTGACAATATACAGCAGGTAAGTAAAAGCCCACACATCCCCCAGGTGCTCTCATACAGAATAAAGGCAAAGCTAAATTTGAAGATGAAAACACAATCTGCATCTCTTTTGAAACAGCAGTGAATCAAGGAGAAAGTGTTCTGTGCTCTGTATACACGCCAGAGCATCAAAATCCAGCATTTCTCCTCAGTGATACCCCAAACCAGTGCAAAACACACAGTCATCAACTCCCAGTTCTACCAACTCTGCTTTGAAGTACCAAAAACCACAACCCGAGTGTATTCCCACGATGAAAACTCCTTCCAAAACCACCATTCCATTGCTGACATTTAAAAACAGGATAAGGATTTGGCCCAGCCATCTACTGCAGAGTCTGTAATTGATACAGTTCTGTTTGCCTCAAAAGGACACGCCATCCACAGCAGAAACAACCCCCCTTGCAGAGCACAGCTCTGGCCCTGCAGAGCACAGTCACTGACAAGGCATCACAGTGCACCCTCCATTTCACTATCAGCACTTTGGATTTGGACTTGTAGCTGAATCACCCTGTGCACAAAAAGGGGCTTGAGACAGGGCTCAGCCAACGTTGAAGTTTCTCAAGGAATGAAAGCTGGGCAGGCAGCCAACAGCAACTTCATTCTGAGTGCACACTCTCTTTGCCTGCTAATTAAAACAGGAGGATAGTCAAGTTTAAGGGTATATATTTATCTCCTCTTGAGACAGCTACCACCTCTGAAATCAAAGTGACACTAAGTTTGATGTACACCCTGCATTGTTCCCAAAGGAAAAATCACTCAGTTAACAGTTGATAATGACCTACAAAATCTGAACATGCAACACTCCTGACACTCAGCAAGAGCCACCTAGTTTTACCTGGGAAGGAACAGTCAAGCCCAGTTCAGAGAAAAAGTTACTACTATGGCATTATCACCAAAATGATGGAGTTTTAGCTAGAAGTATATAATCCTTCTATTTTTGCACCCCTTCCAGACAAAGACAGCTTCTAGAGCAAAACTAAGATATTACAAAGCTCTAGGCAAAAGTCCAGGCTTTTAAGACTGGCACTTCAAAAGCTTACCCAGGAGAAACAGGGAGCTCTACTCTGCATAGCTCATGTATTTGAGATCTATACAGCAAATTGTCAGAAGGAGCAATAAAGAATTGTGAAAGATGAGAAAACAGTGAAGTCACGTGCCAGTCACACTTGCTGAGAGGACAGAAGACATTTGTGAAGAGAAGTTCAAAGGCACTGCTACTACAAGTCTAAGAGCTGGAGAAACACATTCAGATGAAATAACAGAAGTGACCAAAAAAAATCTCAACACTCCCAAACCTAAGGAAACTGCAGACATTTCAACACCAGGAACAACATCTATTTTGTGAAAAGACAAGCCTTAAGACACTCTGAAACCAGACACTAGAAAACAGAATTTAAATTTGTGACAAGTGATAAAACCACAACTCCAATTAAGATGCCTTACTTTCAGACCTACCAATTAAACTAAGTGGCAATTTGAAAAATAATCCCCTCCATACACATGTACATTTAAGGTAATTACAGATGAACAGGAGCAAGATTGTTCTTAAGTGAAGCATATACTAAGGAGTGTTTGAAAACTCCCCCCCAGGGCCTCAAATCATTAAGACAAAGCCCCACAGCAATTTTACATTAATATGCTAATGCCTGCATGCACCACATAAGTGGGTCTTACCTGCCACTTCCACGATATCACCCGGGACAATGTCCCTTGCTTTAATCCTCTGGACACTTTTTCGGTCCTGTCGATACACTTTGCCCATCTCTGGTTCATATTCTTTAAGAGCTTCAATAGCATTTTCAGCATTTCTTTCCTAAAAGACAGCAAAAAAGTGTAATATTGAAAGCACTCAAGGAAAATAAGCCTGTCATATCCGATTTTCCAAAAGCATTATCATATGAATGCTACCAACTCTGCTCAGCTATATTTCTTCATACAGAACATTTCGTGTCCCCTCCCCTTAGGAGGTTGCTGACTGGGAATCATTAGAGTATAATTCAGGTGTTTGAGGGCCTTTAGAACACAGAAATTGTTTATTTCAATGCTGCAACGTTTTCCATCAAGAATATTCACTGTCTTGTTGCAGGGAGGCCACACAAAGAGTTCCATGTCACATATGGATGCTTTTTGACACTAAAAAAGCACTAATCAGAATCAAGATTTGTGGATGTAGGTGTTGGCTGTACCTTGGCTGGAGCAGCTTACACTCAGCCTGGAGTGAACCAGCACTGCTGAATTTCATTTACTGACACAAATCAAGGATCAAGTTATGATGAAGCCAACTTATTATAAACTTTATTTCAGCAAATCAAGTCATGTTGAAGTGAAATTAAAGCATACAGTAGAAACTTCCCCAGAATCTCCAAACAATTTACAAACTCAGACGAATCCCCATGCAGGAAAACTTTTTGATTTCCACTGACACATCAGCTTTCCTGTCTCAGCTGCAGCCCTCTCACTGAGCTCTAGCAGAGATTGGTATCAGCATTGTGATGCCACCTGGATAAAGAACAACTGCAGAAACCAGCAGCTTATCAGTGCTCCTTCTCCAGCTCTTGGAGAAGGAACTTATTTTCCATTTCCCTGCCTATTGACAAGAACAAACGTCATTTAGCCCTGATAATTATAGATAATGGTAGAGTGCACAGAGCTTATAGAACATCTGCCCTTCAAATATACATCAGCCTTTCCAGATAATAAAAAATCCCTCCTTCCTTCTGTCAAAGCAGAAACAAAACCATCAGAAATTCAAAAGTTGAGGAACTCACAAGTTCCTTGTAACAGTGCAGCTGAAAATGACAGCTACCAGAACTACCTAAAGGAACTAACAATTACATGGCATAGCTCAGGGTCTGGCAGGGCCCATACCAGCACAGAGCCATAAAACTGCAAACAATACCAGCCCCATATTCCACCAGGTGAATTAATTCTGCCCCTCAGCACTAGAACAGCAACAATGCTTTTCTATGGACTATGAGTCACTGTGAGGCAAAACCTTCAAGCCCCACAAAAAGAAGGCTACTTCAACAGAACTTTTTCTTCAAAATGGAGAAATAAAAACTCAGAATTTTGGCCAGGTGGCCAAGAAGGCCAATGGCACATGGCTTGGAGCAGAAGTAGTACAGCCAGTAAGATCAGAGCACAGGGGATGGGCACTGCTGAGGCACCTCCAGCTCAGATTTGGGCATCTCATGACAATAAGGACATGGAGGGGCTGGAGCATGACCAGGGAAGGAAACAGAGCTGGGGAAGGGTCTGGAGCACCAGGAGCACCTGAGGGATGACAGCTCAGACATCTCATCTCATCTCCAGCTCAGTTTTGGGCAACTCATGACAATAAGGACATGGAGGGGCTGGAGCATGACCAGGGAAGGAAACAGAGCTGGGGAAGGGTCTGGAGCACCAGGAGCACCTGAGGGAGCTGGGGGGAACTCAGCCTGGAGAAAAAGAGGCTCAGGGGGGACCTTGTCACTCTCTAGAAAAGGAACAGAACAAGAATAAACATGCAGGTTGCACCAGAAATTTAGAATGGCTATTAGCAGCAATTTCTTCACAGAAATGTTGTCATGAATCCAAACAGGCTGCTCAGGAAGGTGGATGAATCACCATGCCTGCAGGTATCTAAGATGCACATGTGGCCCTCAGGGACATGGTTTTGTGGTGGCCGTGGCAGTGTTGGGTTACCAGTGTGACTTGATGATCTCAAAGATCTTTTCCACCCTCAACAATTCCACGATTCAGCTCATTCAGCCAGCTCACAGTGCTAGACTGAGTCTTTTTGCTGCAGTTTGCCTGAAGTTATGGTAGCCAGACAACCCTGCAGGCCCTGGAGCAGTGGCAGGTGCTCCTGGGGAAAGGTGCACGTGAGAGGAAAGGCTGAGGGTGGCAGAGCTGTGACTCAGTGCTCACATCTGGTACCTGTAGGAACAGATACATTTATGGGTGGAGACTGTGTACTGGGGCTGATTTTCCATGCCCATTGGAACAAGGGAATGAGTCACTTCATCTGGGCAGGCAGCAACTCTTTCACAATGAAGTTCCATGCATGTAGAAATATACACAGAGGTATTCTTTGCATACTATGACATCAGAAAAAAAAATCTGATTATTTCCTACAACAGGGAAACAACTGCACAAGAAAAATCCTCAAACTATAAAGACAGCTTTAACTTCCATTTCATGCTTAAAATTAGTACCTGCAGAACTGCAACTCACGAGTTTCATGTTAAACATTAACTCTTGCACAATTACTTTATGAAGACCTGAATATAAAATGTCATTTAAGAGAGCAGTGCTGTCACCCCTTGACCAACATTATTTCTTCCCTGCACACCTGCTCCAGCAGGGTGGCTCCTGATAAAAACTGAATTTTGAGGAACAGTCTTCAGCCAGCTAACCTGGGAAAGCACAAAGCAGAGAACAGGAATGGGCAGCAATGCCACTCAAAGCCACTTCTTCCAGCAGCCAGGGCCCTCTCTAATATGTTGTAACCTATTAACAGGACTCCTCCTCTTAATTTTTGTTATTTTGGCCAGTTTGATATTTTTTAAAGCATGAAGCCTCATGCACTAAGAGTGCAAGTAATTATGTCAGGCTAGCACCCTCACTTAGGAAAAAACCCAACAAAACAAACCAATCATACAAAGAACTTACAAAAAAAATCCTAGAACATTTTTTATATGCAGGGAAAATCCCTCTAACAAAACATCCACTGTCTAAAGTGAAGAAATTAGCAAAGTCAAGTGATATGAACATTTTTGTTTTGGCATCTCACGAAGTGTGATTTCATGTTATGATACTACTGTCTATATGATTTATAAAAAGGCATCAAATTAATGTCACCGCTGACAGTGTAGGAAAAGTTTTATAGTATTTAGATGTTTTCATCAGAAACTTGTGCCTTTTGACAGACATGCAGTCTTTGGATGTACACTTAACAGGTGACTGAACAGGGAGAATTAATACTGTATTAATAATTTACTAAAACACAACAGTTGTCTCAAGAGGAAACAGAAAAGAAACAAGATTTCCAGTGCTCCATCCTTTGTTCCTTAGTCAGGAAGCAAACCACTCCAATTGTTCTTAGCTTTGCAAGGCCTGATTTACTGCCTGAATTCAGGGCTTTATTCTAGCCTGTCTCCTTCATGTGTTCAGCAGTGTGTGGCCAAACACACTGATGGGCATTTTGCCTTTCTGGCAACACTTCTGAAGCTTTCATTTTACCTTTAAGTCAACACTTTCTGCTGAGAAGCTTTATGGTTTGCTGACTCTCAGGAATCCCAAGTTAGCAACACATCCTACTTGCTTTGTAAGAACACCCAACACCACAGGGTACAGCGCTTCCTCTTAAACCATAAAACCCCAAAACATTTGTGATTTGATGCTGTAAAAGTGTCTGCATACCTGCCACACTCCCACAATTGCATTGGCTACTAATATAAGTAAGATTACAAAAGGCTCTACAAATGCTGTGATTGTTTCTTCACCTTCTTCAAACCAGGCCAGGACCTGCAAGAGAAACACACAGATTTAAATTCCTGATTTACACAGACACCTTGCAAACTTTATGCCTGCTAAGTTTCAACTGCTCAAACTTCAGCAGTATTGGAAACCCCTAAATCTACCAAGTTTGTAGTTTTATAATTCATGAATGAGTTGGCAAAATGCAATGGAAAAGGAGGAAAAGAATCTTTACTAAAGCAGTACAAAGTTCATTTTAGAGGCTGCTCTTCTTTTAAAGGAGTAAGCTATTTATCTGGGAAACAATTGCTACTGTTGCTTCAGAAGTGAAAGGAGAAGTTGTGACAACAGTTATGACAATGAAAAAAAATTATTTAATTACTGTATAAAACAGGACATAGATTGGTTTGACTACTTAAAACACTAAAACCTTGCCAGAATCTGAATTTTAAGCAAGTTAACTGCCCTTTACCAGTAATTCAGCCAGACAAATGGAAACAGCTTTACAAGTTTTCAGTGAGTAGATACAAAAAAACAATCATCTTCTCATTTAAATACAAATAGTGTCATATTGAAGCATCTAAGTGAATGGTACTGTTATATCTGAAGCTGGATTGTAAACCAAGTAGCTGATAAAACCCAAAATTGGATTTTAAAAGCTAAATCAAACTTGAGGACTTGCATAAAAGGCTCCACATAGATTTTATTTTAATTCATTTGTTTTAAAAGTGCACTCCAGTGTTAGGTATCTGTCACTCATTTGACTTGAATGTGTCAGGGCCTCTGCAGAGTGCTGGAGCCACTGATGAAAAGTCAAGTTAACATGAGCAGAGAGGAAGAGCGTTTTCGTCAACATGTTGAGCAACAGGAAGCCTGGAAAGTGACAGTAAATAGGAACAACGTGTTGAGATAATTAGGGCTGGTAGTCAGGCAACAGCACTCTGAATCACTAGAAGACTGCAGCGAGCAAACTGCTACCAAAGCAAGCCCGTGATTCCACCAACATGCTGCTCCGAGCCATTGCTCAATTGTGAGACACTCCAGGATGTCAAAAGGAAGGAGCAGCAGCATGAAAGCCTCAAGCAGAAAACAGACTGTCAAGCAAATCCAAGGCAACAAGAAATTTTTATTACAAAGGGATAAACTTGTAAGATCCAGGTTGTGATTAACACGACTGCAACATTCCAACTGGTAACACAACACTCCGAGGGTCTGCGTAATCCCCCTGCAGAACAGATTTAGTTGGGATCTCTCCACACCTCAGTGCTCTCCAATCCCTGGAACAGCTCCTGCCATTTGTCCTGCTGGGGCAGTGGGACAGGCCCTGCTGTCCCTGCTCACCCCACACACATCCCTGTGTCACAGGCAGCCTCCCCCCTGCACCAGAGCTGCTGCTGCCCGGGGAGCTCCAGGAGAGGCCAACGGGGCATTCATTTCCAGATCTCTCAGCGTCACACACAAGGTCCCCTGTGTCACGGGCAGCCTCTCCCCTGCACCAGAGCTGCTGCTGCCCGTGGAGCTCCAGGAGAGGCCAACAGGGCATTTCCAGATCTCTCAGCGTCACACACAAGGTCACACGCTGCCAGCAGAATCTGTTTCTTCCCTCCCTTTTTTTATTGGAATTCTGTAGAGCCCACTTTGCTTCCAAACAAAGCAAATAAACTCAATTATGTTGTGATGTGCTTATCTGAGCAGGCACCTACAAAGTTAACTGGAATAAAACATCTGCTTTACATGATGTTAAACCAGAATATTTTCCGATTTAAGACTGTGTGTGCTGTAAAATAACATTGAGAAAGGCCACAACTTCCAGAGGTAAGGAAAGGAGCTACAAGGACAGCAAGATCCAAGTATGTCAAGGAGAGCCAAAATTAAGTTTTCAAGGGATCTTTTCTTTCCATAAGCCATTATTTCAAAAAGAGCAGATGAACTCAAATTAGAGATCCTGAGAGTATAGAGCATGAAAATTTAAATCGTCACCGCTGTTTTTTTGGGGAAATTATCAATCTGTGACACGACTAAAGTGAAGCATCTAGTTAACCCTGGAAGCCAGCAATACACATTTCTCTCTCCAGAAGTTTCTACACAACTTCTATCACTGGAACAACCCAAGCTGTAGTTCTAGAACAGTTTAGTAAACATAAGACATAAAATAACCGATACATTGCAAGTTCTTGTTTTTGCTATAGCAGACTACAGCTATATTAACACTTCACTTAGGATATTTGTGATACACAATACATTCTGTAACAGATCTGCTTTATTATTTGATAGCAGCTTGAAGTAAAAAAAAAAACAAAAACAAAAACAAAACAAAGGCAAGGAAAACAAAGAGGAAGTAGCAGAAGCAATAACAAATATTTAACTTTGCATTTTTAGTAACAACAGACCATATGCCTAGGCCTGGTAAAGACTAGACAATTCTTGTCCAAGTCACTGAGTCCTTGTCAGAAAGTTTCCACTAGCACACTTTTAAGACCCTGGAGAGGTTTACAGTGAGAGATCTCTTTTTTTTTTTCAATTTCTACTCAGAAGGGCCCCACCATGTTTAGCCCTAATCACTTAAATCTCACATGTAACAGCTTCATTTCCAGGTCATTGATCTCCAATGCTCTGGTCAGGCACTACTGTCAATAGGTAAAATCACCACCCATTTAAGAAAGAGTAGGAAGAATAAGAAAACAATAAGATAATTGCTCAAGAGAAATGCAAGCCTAAAAATATCAGTGAAATAATAGCAAGACATGAAAGCCTCATACAGAAAGCCAACACAAGCAGCTTAAAGGACAACTTTCTTTCAGCATATCTGCTTTAGGGCTGCCAGAGCTATGGCTTGCAGAGCCTCTTTTAAACAAAGCCTAATGGGGTGGACCTGCAGGACTCTGAGGCAAAAGATACACAATGACAGGCAAACAGCACTTGGTTATTTGCAAAAAGGGGACAGAGGAACAATGCCAAAGCAACGAGGTGAGCGCTGATGGAAGTGGCTGAAACAGCACGAGTGCCCCCACAGCTTTTTCCATTTCTACAACTGAAGGATCTCTATTCTATTGTCAGGGAAGTTATGGAGCCAAGTTGCCTCAGATGACTGTGTATCATTAAGTAACAACAGTTGAACTGGAGAATGGGAGTGTGGAGACAGAATTGTGTTGCCCAGCAGGCTGTACCCGCTCACCACTAACAGAGGAAAAGCAAATATTTTTGTTGTCAGCAACCAAACAGGGATTTTTGTTTGGTTTTCATTTTGACAACGGAACCTTAGAAGCAGGTTGGGAGAGGTAAGATCTCATCCCAACAAAAAGAAGTCCTGGATTAATTAAAGCAGGTCATACAAAAAGCATGGACTGCTTTTAAGAGTTTTCTTCTCACAGGATAACGTGATTTCAGTTTTAATATATTTTGGACAGAGTATCAACTACTGCTCAGAAACCCCTATTTTAGTGATTTCTCCTTTCAATACAAATTAGCTTAAAAATAAGCAGATGCAAACTATTTCAAATAGTGCTGTTCCATCCATGTCAGTTATACTGAACACCAGGTAACATATTAAAGAAAAACCTCCCAATTTTAGTTCCATGATTCAGTGGAGATTTTTGTCTGCTACACAAGGAGGTCCGGGGAAAAAAATCTCAAACACAAACCAACACATCTTGACCACATGTATAAGCACAAAATTAAGAATTTTACTGAATTCACAGACTGTAAGCACCCATCAATGTTACGCCATATTTCTGAAAATAAATATATTATTATAACAATAAGAGGAGGGAAAAAAAGATACCTGTGACCTACAGTTTAATTTTTACAACATAAAATAGAATCACAATGACTTCTCACATTTTTATCACCTCATGCTAATGAGCAATCTAAGTTTAGCTAAAAGCATGTCAGTGTCACATTTTACAGCAACCCTTATCTAGTGCCACACACTCACTGCTGCTGACCTTCACAGGTAGCTTTTGGGGTAATTTCAGGGTAAAGCTTGCAACACTGTTACTGACACATCCTACTTTTCCAAGAGGACCTTTGCTCACCTTTTACCACAAGCTAGGTTATAGTCATGCTAATTTACAGGCTATTACAACCTCTGGGATAAAGCACAGTGTATTGTTTTAATCTAAACACAGATATCCACTACTAGAAAACATTCTCAGGACATTCACTTCTAAGTCAGCTTAGGAATCAAAGGAATAATTGAGGGGAGGGAATGCTCTTAGGATGCTGTACAAATACTTCAAGGTTTGGTGGAGTTTATAGCCTACGTTGCACCTTGTAGGAGGAAACCCACTGTGTGATGCAGAGCTTAGACTGCAGAGTTCAGCACACACCACTGCTTAAAGCAGCCACACTTCACCAAGGAATTATTCTACATCAGATGCAGTTAACGTTTTGCAACTGTCAAAATCATTTATACAGCAAAGCAAGCTGTTCTTTTCAGTAAACACTGTAGATCTGAGCACATGCTACACAAGTATCAAGAATTAACAGCCACGAATACACTCCACAGGTTTATTTCTGCAGAGGCTTCACGGATCCAACAGAAGACCGAGACAAGTCTATTCACAGATCCATTTACTCACCATCAGAAATTATTTATACTGTTTCTCTTCCAAAGCCATACTTAAGGCTTTCACTAACCAGTTCTGACCTGGAATGTAGGACACAGGATCCACAGCCCACAAACACGCAGCATCTGACCCCGGCCATCAGCCTGGCTGGCACAGATTGAGCTGCTGGCTCCGAGTTATTTTACTGACACGTACCTGACAGGCAGTGTGGGAGCAGAGGGCACAAAAGGCACTCTGAACACAAGTTTATGCTCTGCCTAAGAAGGGATGTTTCTGCACAAAACCCAATGCAGGTCTCAGAGTTACAGATGTGTGTTACTGTGCAGGCAGTTCTAACGGCAATAAACTAATATGATTTATGATTGCAACACAACCACCATAAAAACTCCCTCAACACACACACAAAAAATTACCTATATACTTCGAGATCTTCTCTCTTATATCAGAATTCTAATTTTTCTAAACTGACAATATACAGCTGGTCAAGAACATCACGACTTAGGTGATGTAATTACATCCTATTTTTGCAGTAATGCAATCCTTGTACCAACATATCCAATGGTGCTTTACAGCTACTACAAAAGTCTGTATTATGCTTTCATCAAGAAAAAGTGTTAAAACCCAAGAAAAACATAACATGATCACCTTCTGAGCAAAGAAAATACCAGAAACAAACACAAAGGGGAAGAACTTTTAAAGTACCAAAATTATAATATATCTAGAGGGGTTTTAGTTTCCACCAGAGAAAAATCTTTACTTCTAACATCAATTTTGTGTGCCTCTGTAACTACAAAATAGAAGGCAGAAAAGGCAGAGCAGTAGCCCAAGGTCATGTACCATGTCAGCTGAACAGAAGCAGAGAACCCAGATCTATCCCACACTCCATTAGACTACAGTCTCCTCTTAATTAGATAGGAAAATTAACCATACTGAAAAAAGCAACTGAATTCAGCTACTAATCAAGTTTTCCAAGAGGACTCAGCAGTGTATGTTCTATGACCTCTGTCAGTCTGGTCTCATACTTACTCAGACTCAGTAATCAAAGCTTTAGTTTGGGAAATCTGATTTTTCACTTACTTGTTTATAATAAAAACAACTAATTTACTTTGGCACGGAACGCTAACAAACTTCTGTGCTGTCATTTGTCTCATGAGACGACAAACACTCCTGACTTTTCAGGAACAAAAAGACATCCCCTTCTCACCCTCTGTGAGGAAAAGGGGAAAGAAGAGGGGGGGAAAAAAAAAAGCTTTTGAATGACTGTTTATTCAATTTTCAATAGCCAGCCTGATTTCCTCTCCAGGAAACAGACGAGTGAGTGAAGCACATCTGTGTCCATGGTCAGGACTGATGTCACCAGGCACTGCTCAGCTGGTTCTGGTGAATTACAGACCCAAAGCCAGAGCCCTCTGGAAGGTGTTGGTGTGGGGAGAGCACAAACTGCAGCACCAGGGCAACCCTTCCCCCAGCACACAACAGCTCCAGAGCACATTCTCCTCTGCCCATCCTAATTAGCTTGCCCTTAGCTAAAGAGTCACCACAATTTCCACTCCCCCCCAAGAGCTGCAGCATTTATTTTTTTTTTCAAGTAGTTAATTACAACTCCAGGGCAAAGTCTACTGTAAACTTTTACTCCCTACCTAAACAATTTAATATTCTGCAAGCTTCTGTTTCTGTTGTCCAGCTCCCCAAGAAATACAGCCTTCACCTTCCCTCTCTGAGTCTTCACTCCGTTTTCCAGCTTTTCAGCAAGCACATACCATTTACACATAATGTAGGAAGATTGCCTAATTTTTTTTTTTTTTTAGAAAAAAAGGTTAAAAATGTTCTTGTTCTTTTAGTCCTGTATGCAATGCAAGATGTCCATTTAATGACTTGACTATCCAAAGGTCAGTTACCAAATTTGGTCAACAATGGTGCCATCACAGCCGTCAACATTCTTGTCACTGTCAAAAGCAGCAACTGTCACCTTGCTATTATCAGAAAGGGAAGGCAACTGGAATATTCGCCATGTAGATTCTATTTACAGTCTGCATTGCATCCAAAAATGTCTTCCAATGATTATACATCGAGCTTGATAAAGATTAACCCAAAGGCAAGAAGAATGTCCAGTTAAACGCTTACTTACTCAAGGTTAGTTTTCAAAGCCAACAGCAGCATTGGGAAATCCCACCTCAAATAAGCAAACTGGCTTGAATGAGAAGCACTTTTTAAAATACTTGTCTGGTGTAGTTATGTACTTATGACTCATGCAATGAAAGACTCCCCAAAATTTTTGTTGGCTAGCACACAGAAACCTCGTCACAAGGAACTAATTTAAGAGACAGCAATCTTGCATCTATCCAGCAAGAAAGAATAATTTCAGCGTGTACAGATCATATACATTGGAATATGTCACTCTGCCATACAGAACCCTAGGAAATAAAAAAATTAATAAATCATACTTACAAAAGATATGCAAGCGGCCAGCAACAAAATTCTAACTAGTAAGTCTTCAAATTGTTCAATCACAAGCTCGAGTAAGGTTTTCCCTGCAACATGTAACAAAGCCAATGAGTCACGCACACTTACAAAAATGAATTATCAACAAGAATTAGCAGAAGATTTCATAACCATGCTCACCTTCCTCTGCCGGCAGCTCTGTCAGTGGAAGATTTTTCCAGGAAGCATGTGAAAGAAAAGAAATCATCGAAGAAACACGTTAGAGCATTATCAGGCATCCACACCAGATAGTCTTCCTGAATTGCACGCTCAGCTGGGTTGGATTTGACAGACACACTGAAATCCCCACTAAGGCTGCTCTTTCCACCAGAGTATGTGAATGGGTCTGAGAGCTCTGCATTTTAAGACACATAAAGGTTCGCGGGAATGTGCCAAGGGTTATAATTCAGCCAAGTCATCACTCCAGCCAGCTGTGGGACTTCTGCTGTTGCTGCACACAAAGGGTCAAAGGCTTAAAACGCTTTTCAAATGCTTTCTGACAAAGCTTTTCATCCACATTCACTTAAAAAAAACCCCACAAACCATCAAACTTGGTTAAAAATATTTCAGATTCTTTCCTCCATTTTAAGGGTATGTCCTTATTTCTGCTCTCTCCTTTATGTTCCTGCAACTAGATTTAGTAACCCAAAAGGCACAAAAGCAGTGTTAAAGCTAAAAAAAACCACCTCCACCGTGTAATCTTTTCATACATTTTCATTTTTACACAGCGGCAAGGGAGTTCTGAAGGGACTAGGACCCCCAAGCAGTGAGGATTTTAAAAAATCGACTGAATTTTGTGTCCCGACTGGAGAGAAGAATATAAAATAAGGGGCTGAAAGGCGCTTAAAAGCTGGGGAAAATGAAGGTCAAGATGGGGAGGGGGGGGAAAAAAAAAAAAAAAAAAGAAGAAAAAAGGTAAATCCTAAACCCCAAAGCGCTTCATTTCAGAATGGAAGAAGGTTTCCCACCGTTACGGTGAAAGAGAACGGAGGTGACACCCTCCTCCCCAGAGCAGCCCTGCGAGCTCGGGATTGAAAGAAACCCACGAGGTGGAGTTCAAGTCAGCCATCTTCTCTCCCTCGCTCCTATTCCGGGTCCTGGAAGAGATGCCGGCTTTGCCAGAGCACACGCGTTAGGCCTCGCACAGGGCCCCGGCAGGGATGAGGGAGAGGACAGAGGGCTGGGGAAGGGAGCAGGGGGGGAAGAGGGCGAGCGCCGGCGGCAGCATCCCCGCGGCGGGGCCGCCTCACCTACCGTTGGAGCCCCATTTCTCCTTCAGCTTCTTCACTTGCTCGAGGCTGAGCCCGGTGCTCTCGTTGACGCCGAAATAAGCCAAAACTTCCTCCACAGTCTTTGTGTGCGCGTTCTCCATGGCTGGGGCAGGGAGCAGCAAATGGTGCCGTGCCTCGCCTCTTCCTCCTCCCTCTCCTCCTCCTCAGCGGCGGCGGGGGCGGCGGCGAGACCCCTCCTCAGCCCTCACCACCCCCGTGCTATCACCATAGACCCTCTCCCGCAGCAGAGGAGCCCGAGCACACCTCTCTCTTCGCGGAGGAGGCCGGGAGGGGCAGGAAAAAAATTAAAAATAAAAAAAAAAAAAGTCGCCTTTAAAAAAAAAAAATTTAAAAAAATAAAGCCCCCACCCCCCCTCCCACCCCTCACGCCTCCGAGGGAGCCGAGCCGCCTCTTCGGCGGGGACGAGGGACTTCGGGCTGGGAGCGCGCGGGCCCCCGGAGCCGCGGTCGCCTCGGGGCCGCGGCGGGTCCCTGCAGGGATGGGCCGCGTCCAGGTGGCCGAGCGGCCTCTCCGCCCGCCTCAGCGGCTCCGAGCCGCCCCCGGTAACGGAGGGCGATAACGGCGCGGGGGAGGAAAAGCCGCAGTTGCTCCGCTGCCCGCGAAGGGTCAGGATCGCCCCCTTCCTTCCTTCTCTAGCAGCCCGATCCCCCCCCGGCCGGCCCAGGCCGCTGTCGCCGTCACGGCTCGGGCTCCCCCGCGCCCGCCGCTGCCTCCGCTCGCTCCGGTCGCACAGCGGCAGCGGCGGCGGCGGCTCTAATGTAATTCGGGGGCCGCCCGGCGCTCTCTCGCTGCCGCGGCATGTGGACGCCGCTCATTGGCGGCGCCGGGGCGCGGGGCGGGTATGCTGGCGGCCCCGCCCGTGGGGCGGAGGCGATGGCTGCGGCGCGGCCCCTGCGCAGCGTCGTCCCGGTGTCGCTCGTGCTCCCGCCCGGGGCCCGGTGGCGGCTGTGCCTCACGCCGCGGTGCAGCCGCTTCTCCTGCGTACGGGGACAGCCCCGCAGGTGCGGTGGTCGCTTTCCTGCCGCTGCTGCCCCGGCGGGAACCGCCCCTGTCCCGGCCTCAGCCCGCGGTGAGGGGGAGCGGGGCGGCCTGAGGGGAGCTGCCCGCCATTGGGGTCTTGGCGCGGGGGCTGGCACGGAACTGCACCGGCGCGTGTCGCGACAGGAGCGCCAGCCGTCCTGTGAGCACTGCCCTCACCCTGTCGTGATAGCAGCCTCATCCAGTCCAGGGGTGAGTGTGGGGTTGGCCCCCGCCTCAGGAGCATCATCCGGTCAAAGGGTGACTGTGAGGCTGGCGCGCTCTGTCGCGACAGGAGCATCATCCGGTCAGAGTGTGAGGGGAAGGCCGTGGATTCTCCCTCTGGAGACGTTCCAAACCCACCTGGGCACATTCCTGTGTCACCCTGCCTGGGCAGAAGGTTGGAATGGGCGATCTCAGGGGCCCCTTCCCACCCTAAAGACTGTGATTCTGTGGGGCTGCACCGGCCTCTGTCGCGACAGGAGCCTCATGCATCGCGAGCGTGCAGAGCTGAGGGCCGTGTGCCTCGCTGCTGTGGCGGGGGTCACTCCCGAGAGGTCGTGCCCTGCGCTGGCCCTGAGCAGTGTCCCCAGCTGCCGTCGCACACATGCCGGTGACAGCACACTCAGCCTGGCGATAACGTGAGGGGGAACGAACTGCGCGCTGTGATTTCAGCGCGGGTGTGCGGTGAGGGACCGGCTTTCCTCAGCGCCGTGTCAGGCACTGAGCCGACAGAGAGCACAGAAAACTGTCTGATCCGCCCTATCCCAGCCGGTAATTTATGGGAATTTCAGTGAGCACGAACCACAGAGAAATCACTGCCAGCTGACATTAATACACCTGCAACGCACATGCACAACACAGCGAGCAGATAGGCATAAACACCTTGAAAACTTGGTTCCAAGCGATGTTCCTGAGTACATATGCCCGTGCAAATACCAAAGCTGATCCCTACGTGTGTGCTGGCTTACATAAATGCAGATCCTACCTACAATCTGCATTTCCACCGCTTACAAACCACCCACAGCACCACGCTATAAGAAACTGCGTGTCTGATCTGGAATGAAATATCTCAGTCTTACCTCTGTGCTAGAAAAGGGATGGAGAGGGGCAGCCCGTGTAAAATTATGGTATTTGTGGCCCTATATCCTTTCTGACAAAAGTTCACCTGCTCAAAAAGGCTCCTCTGTGAATGGCCAAGGTCCAAGGAAGGATAACTTGACAGCCTACACTTCACAGGGCAGTTCTGAATGAAAATTCCTGAGCTAGATCTGATGACCTAGTTCAGGTAAGGCAATCACTTATTCCATGCCATGCCCATATTAATTTCATCTTACTTATCAGCAGGATTAATCAGCATGGCCAAATGTTGCATCAGTACAGTTATGTTGCTTTTCATACATCACACTACACTTAAATAGACTTAACCTGTTACAGAGGTGAAGAATGTCAACATGACAGGTGCATATAATCCATACAATTTAATGTAATTTTTTAACCAGTTTTAATAATTTTCTTGATATGGCATGAACCTGTGATGCCACCATCCCCAAAACACATACATGTGCATATGCAACATTAAAAATACACTATTTCCACAATAATTCCATATGCAATAATGCCAGCTACTTGAATTAATGTATTTCACTGTCAGCTCAATGTATCTCTATGACTAGTTTTTTCTACCACATTAATAAAACCTGGATTGTATATAAGTTTTTTTTTAAAAAATACATTTACCAAGCATTATTTTTACACACGAGTATATTTACTAGCCTTCATATACAAGTACACATGTAATGGACTTGAAAGTCCTTCCTTTCATTTTCTTACTATTTTAAGGTATTACAATTAGGCATCTGTAACTATTCTCAAAACAAAATGACACTAGAAAGAAACCCTGGTCACATTTAATATTATTTGTATTTCTGTGTTGTATCCTATGTCATTCTTGGTTTCCTTTTTGTGCCTGTTTCCTAAAGTCCTTATGGAAAATTATTTTAAGCATACCAGAGGCATGGCACATGCAATTAGATCTTGGCAGAGGGTAGAATAAAGTAGTTACTGTGTTCTTTCTATCTAACTTGTTAACAGGAGGAAATGGTGCTAGGAAGGCAGAGCATGAATTCTAGCAAATCCTGGAGAACTCTTGGCATTCTCTGGGGTTCACTAGTTCAGCTGCAGTTTGACAGCTCCCATTCGTTGTTTCTCTCTCAGCCATTCAGTACAGAGAACTTGATTCTTCCCCCTTTTTTCCACCCTAGATAAAATCTGGAAAGAACCTGGAAGCACAGTCCTCTGCCTGTGTTTATTTCTGTCACGTGTTTTCTTATGGCTCAGTGAATTTTGAGAGAAGAATCACTGAATTAAGGGCTGTTCTCCAATTCTTTTTCTTTCTCTTCCAGGGCAGAATAACCTCTGCATTTCCTTCACTGTCCTTTCCCTGTCTTTCCCTAGAAGTGCAGGACCACTGCTGAGGATTCCTTTGCAGGTGATGCCTTCCAAATCCTCTGACAGCTCCACATTTGAGAAGCATTTGCAGATACAATTCATGGTCTAGACAGCACAGTGCAGAAGGAGCTACAAATACCCATGTAGACACTGCAGCAGAAGCAGTACCTGCTAAATTTGGCATCGCTTGAGATCATACAAATTTAGAATTGTGAGTTGAAATCAGTGTTGTTTCCCATCACTCTGCAAGGATTCATAAAGCTTTCCTTGACGTTTGTCTTGTCTCTTAGAGAAGATGGTTATCTAAAGGACATGGTTAGCTAAAGATGGCTATTTTGACCCAAATCAATATGACAGCACCTCAGCTCTGCCTGAAGCAAACAAGCTCATGAAAGCTTCCAGGCTTCCAGCAGGTGCAGAGAGCTTTACATTCTCCACTTTTAAGGAAATCAATTCATTTTGCTGCTGCAAAGTTGCAGTTTGTCATTAGAGTGGAACCCCTCAGAGTGGTACCTGGGAAAGAACCACAACAAAATGGGGCAGTTTTGGCCTTGCTGAGATTCCATGCACGTAATGGAAGTTTATATTTGTACATTTGGCCTACTATCTCTTTTCACTGTAATATATTAAGAAGAAGCAGCCAACACATCAGGCAGCAGCATTAAAACAGTTCCTGTAATGCTTACTAATTGAAGTAAATGGGAATTTGGCCTGAGAGAGGACTGCAGGATGCTTTCCTTCAAATTGCAATAACATTAAGTCATCCCTACTGCTGCAAAGCAGATTCACAGCAGAGTTACTGGTCATAATGTGAATTGTCTCTTGCTGTACACAAACACATGTGTTTTGTAGCTCAGTTTTCAAACAAGATTAATAGTTTTGAGTGGAGCTAAACTCAGCGTGGAAGAGCACAACATAAAATGCCAGTTGTTGAGCCAAAACACATGAATGCTGACCTGCAATAGGATCTCTTTCAGTGATCATAGTTAAAGTGAGAATATTCTGCTTAATTGTGCCAAATTATGTCATGATTTTTGCAGACTGGCTAATTGCCTAATGGGGCTTATGTTGAGACCACCAAACTCACTGCTCTCATCACCCTGGCTGATTTCAAATACAAGTCTTTGTGAGTGACAAATGGGGGCATTGTTTCTTCCTCCCACAGCACTATTTTATTCCTCTGAAATTACAGTTATTAAAATGTTTCAGCCCGTTGAAATCTACTAAGGCATATTAAAATGCTGCAAAAATGCTGTATCAAAGTGGAAAGGTTTTAAATCTGCACTAATATCATAGGATAATGCAGTTTAAATATAGTAACTATTTTTCCAGTCAGCTTGCTCTTTGAATTCATGGTATTATGTCAAGGGGGTTTTTTCCCCTCTCTCCCCCTTTAAGAAGCTTATAGCTTAAACAGCAAAATGCAAAAAATACTGAGATGAAACAGTTACACAAACCCAGCAGAGGAATAAGTGATAAAATATGAGGTTGAATGCTGATAATTAACATAATCTGAGTTTATTCTGAATAATTTTTATTCCTAGGCACTGTGTGTTCCTGTGTCAGCAGCAGGTAGAATTTGACTTCCACAGAGACTGAGAGACTGTGAACACAAAGAATGGTGTTGCTGCTGGGAGATTTCTAGAACTGGATCTCTGCTCCTGCACAAAGCAGCTCCTTGCTGCCTTGGAAGTGTAAAGAGGCAGTGAGACAGAGTCTGATCTCAGTGACAGTAACTATGAGAGATCACAGTTTGGCTTGGTAGATTTCTTATTTTATTTCTATTTCTTATTCACGGTCATTTGGTTCCTCTCCGAAGACTCCATTGGAGTATTTGCCACAAAAATCTCCATTTCCCTGCTTGGAAAAATCAGTGTATCCCATACTGGTATCAGTAGGAGATTTAAGTGTATGGGAGGGAGAAACATTTTATCAGAACCAACGTCCATCATACATATCTGAAAAAATAATTTCTCCTTATTTTGATGGTGAGTCAGTTCCCTGGAAAAGAAATCAGCTGGACTGTTATTTTAAAAAATGCACAGCAACTTTAGAAATAAAGCACTGGTTGGTGCCCACATGATTTGAATTCTTATCTCATCCTGACCTGATTTTTCCATATAATTACGGTCTAATTCTGATTAATTTGATTTGGCAGCTTGCTGCCTTTTTTTTTTTTTTTTTTTTTTTTTTTTTTTTTTTTTTTTTTTTTTTTTTTTTTTTTTTTTTTTTTTTTTTTGTAAATATTCCTTGTAGGCTTCTGGATCTCA